GAGTGCATTTAGTTTCCTTGAATAAATTCAAGTACTTAACCTTGGTACCACGATAAGGTAGCACATCCTTACCAAGGAATTTGCGCTGTAGAAGGGCATGGAATGAAATGCTGCAAGTGTCAGTGCACTGTAGTACATGCCAGAAGCTTCACCAATGTACGTACTCATCAACTCATCCTTCGCAATTCGCCTTTCCCAGTGTGAAGGTTTCTCGTGGTCTTCTCCTTCATTTTCCAAATACAAACCCTTTACTGTATTCGCTTCACCATCTCCACAATTGTAATGTTTCTTCAGCACGTCGACAAATTTAGTGGAGTTCATATAGAATTTATTTCTGCCGTTTAGTTTTTCATCACGTAGCAGATCATCGCTGCGCTCATTGATCATGAATAGCCCTTTCATGAGATCATGTTGAATCCCAAGTCCATGCGCAATCTCGTGTGCAGTTAAGCGAATATACTGCCTTGTGGCGTTTATCTCCTTTGGGATAAAGCTGATGACGGCTGACGTTGGTCGGTTTTCATTATCCTGAGTGCAAATCTCAACATTTTTGGGTTCGTCTGAGAGACCCACGTAAATCATAAAATCCACATCAGGGATTTTCTTAGCTTTACCCAAGGGATTCCCCTTAATGGCCCTGCACTTTTCTGGCAGAAGATTAACTTCTGCACTTCTGGTATTTTGACTTTTTTCTACCTGTTTCACCTTAAGGCGATCGGTGTGTAGTTTGATGGCTTTAGGCAAGACATCCTTAAAAAGAGTATTCATCTTTTCCGTTGTCATCTCATTGTCACCTCTACAGAATTCGACGTTGTGAGTGGGATTGGAATCACTCTCCGAACGCTGCTTTTTGCATTTATTCACAATATCTTCCACAAATTTTGTATACACGGCAATGCGGATGGGATGCCATTCCTCAGGAGTATCAGAGACGGTGTACGCCTGTAGAGCACTTTCTCCTTTCTGTGGTAACTGCTGCACAACAGCAGCCAAACACCCGCAGCTGCAGTACAACAGGAACAATGCAGTCCACAGGAGGTGACGCATGGAGTGTTTCTCCATTTCTTAATAGTGTGAGTGTGTTGGTTTTTGTGTTGTTTTGCTAAGGTATACGAAGAGTAAAAAGAAAAAAAAGAAAAGGAAGAAAAGGGAGAGAATGAAAGGTAAGCAAAGACTCTAACAATAGCAGTCCAATAAAAGAAAAAATCAAAATAGAAACATCAAAACACACACAGACAACTGGGAAAAACCAGCCGGTAGTATATACAACGAGGGAGAGATATATACCAGGGTTGTTGATTTACCAGAACTCCCACTGTGTAAAGGAAACACGTGATGTTTAATACAAAAGAATAAAAGAAAAAAAAATACATAAATAGATCCACAGACCTCCCCAGCATACATCTCAGCTCCACAAACTCACACATAACAGACAAAAAAAAATATGTACGTTTACCAAGTCCAATATTCATCCTGTCATACACACAAAGCACAGGGTTGGTATTCCTTTCATAGATTCATCATGCATAAAAACCCAATACAAAGACATAGATTGACAGTTTCAGAAGAATAAGAAGAAAAAAATGTATATATTACATCTGCAAATAAATGAATGAATGAATTAAATCAAACACCT